CCAATGGGCCGGTTTGCTCTTCTGCACACAGAACTCGGGGGCCTTGGTTCCCTCCGCTGCGTGCTCACCCTGTCCTTCCACTCCCGGTGTCCCCGGCCTTCCCGCGACTGGTCCGCGTCTCGTCCAGACGTTCCCGGCACGCCGCCAGCAGCACCTCCTCTGTGGAGCTTCTCGGCACCCCCGCCCAGACTCACTTGTATGATTCTTCTGAAGTGCTCCCCCCAGAACATTTGACCCCAGGCAGAGAGTGGCAGGGACATTTGTGTGTAGTATCCTGCCATTTCTCTCTCTTTCTGGGCTCCTCCCTCAGCCCCAGAACAACTTCTTCTCCATCCGTGTGCCACAGGCTCATCCAGCCTCCTCTGCCTTCTCCTGCTACTGCTTACACACCAGATCGCTACCCTGACGCTATGGTAGGGGCGCGTGGGGGGTGCAGGAAAGTGCTTTACTTTCTCTCCCTAGTCTGCCTCCTAAAACCATGGCCACCCCATGGGTCCGAATGAGCCCGGCTTGAAATTGAAAACAGAGGGCAAGTCTTTCTTTCTCGCCTGGGTTCTCTCTGTCTCCACAGACAACAGATGGGCACGTGGGGGAGGCCTGGGACCCGCCGGACTTGGTGAGAAGATCGTTGCTGACTCCGGTAGGAGCAGGCTCAGAAGCTGGGCAGGGGTTTCCGCACAGGGATGCAGAAGTGGTGAGGTCTGTGGTCATCTCTTCTAGAGTCTTGCTGCGGAAAGACACATGAAATGGGGCTGGAACTGGTAGGGAGTGCAGGATGGAGAAACAATTGTGTTTGATTTGTTCCCCAGGATGGAAGAGATTAGACTCTTGTAAAAGCTGGTAGAGATCGGAGGCTGGAGGCAGGAAAAAGTGTTTGAATGGTAGACCGAGGTTCCAGGAAAGGCCAAGAGACGGTTGCAGAGCAGAGAAATCCTCCCTGAAATTCAAGTCCCAGGCAACGCTCTGGGGAGAGCTGCCAGGGCACGGCGCGGCCGGAGGGTAGCGGCCAGAGGGTAGCTGGCGTGTGACATCCAGAGTCAGCTGGGAAGTCACCAGGCTGCTTAAGGAAGAGGAACTCCAACCAAGAAGGAGAAGCGGGCACTTGTGAGGTCGCCACAGGGGGACATGAACTTGTCTGTGCGGTGTCCCACGTGCGAGCAGAGTGCTTTTCACGGCGATGCACACGTGCCCACAGATCTCGGCACGACGACGACAGACCCTCCCATAGACAGCCGCTCCGGGAGTCCGCTGCTGCTTCTCAGGGGAGCCTGGTGCGGGCGCTCCCGGATTGCTGCACATCGCACGGGGCCTCGGGCCGGAGGAACAGTGTCTGTTTTCATCCCACGGGTAACCCCTCCGTTCAATGCCGCTGCGGTACTCGGCCTGAGAGCATTCACTGGCCAGGCAACGGGATGAATTTTAATCGCATGCAAGTCGGATTAGAGAACGTCAGCAGGGACATCCTTAATTACACCTGTGACGCTCAAGACCCTTCTCCACGGACTGAACCCTTCCCTGGAGCAGGTTCGGTGAAGTTCTTCCCAGTGCACAGTTTCCCATGGGGCTGACGGACCGTGCTCCCTGTGCCCCTCCAAGTCAGTGTGGTCTCACTCTTTTTTACGGGATGCACTGGGGTGGCGTTGGTTAGTAACACTGTGTAGGTTTCAGGGGTACAGTTCTACAACACCTCGCCTGTACACTGTAGTGTGTGCTCCCCACCCCAAGTCAACTCTCCCTCCATCACCATTCACCGCCCTCCACCCCCCTCCACCGCCCCCACCCCCTTCCTCTCTAGCAGTCACCACAGGGGTCTCCTTGTTGTTGTTGCTTAACCCCTTCACCTTTGTCGCCCAGCGCCCACCCCTCCCCCGTGCCCTCTGACAGCTGTCAGCCTGTTCTAAGTGTCCATGCGTCTGTTTCTGTTTTGTTCGTTAGTTTATTTTGTTATTATTTTTTTTCCAAGATGGAAAGTTGCTTTTTCAATCACCGGATCAACTCTTATTTTTTTTTCCTGCTTCACAAGGCCTTCAAGAGTCCCTCGGATGAACAAAGAACACGGCGAACAAAGAAAACAATGGCGTTCTGTTTCTAACAGCATTGTCCTTCGCTGCCAGCCCCGACACTGGATTCCATTTGGCTCAGGAACTCTTCTCAAGCAAGCTCCTGACTAGTCTCTTTGGAGAGAAACCATGTGCTCCAACAGCAGCAGAATCCAGCCACATCACTGTGAAGAAGTGAAATGTTCACTGGTAACGTTCCTTGCTCGTGGCTGAAATCAAAGGCATCTCAGGAGACATCAGCCCCGTCCCTGTCCTCTCTGCAGGGGAGCGTGGCTGTTAAGAAACTCTTGCAGAAACTACTTCACAGTATTAGAATTAACGTAAATGTTTGATTTGGTTCTCCAGCTCTGTTCAAGTGGATGAGCAAGGGATAAAAAAGAGAAGGCTCCTAGCCCTTCACTGGGCTGAACACAAGGAGAGAGCCTGTAGAACAAGTGTAAGAGAATGACCTCAGGCACGTGTACACTTTCAAAGGCCACGGTGCCCGAGAGCGGGCAGGGGCCGCGCTGTTTGCTGGGAGAAGCTGCCGTTTAGGGTCAAGGAAACGGAAGCTCTGGTGCATGGAGCGACTGAGCCCAACTGCCACTTTCCCCTGTGCTTTAGTGGGCACTTCAGTCGGAATAAATGTTTTCCCCGAATCTGTCATTAGTCTAGCAGAAGAGTCATTTCTGGGGTTCAGTAAGGAAAGTGGATGAAGAAGGAGGAGAAGAAGGAGAAGGAGACTTATTTTCTGTGTTAGGCCATTATTTGAGTCTGCATTCATTCATCCAGAAGTTTGGGAAGGGCAGGTGCGGCTTTCCTTTCTTTGTAAACAGTCTTGAGTTCTATCTGACACTTTCCCAGCCTCATTCACCCAGAGTAGGAGAGATCGTGGCGGGGGTTGTAACAGGTGGACTGTCACGACTGTCTTCAGCCTGTTCACGAGCGGTGGCGTGCGGCCACCGTCTCGGAGAGGGAGACAGCAAACCCGCCAGTCTCGTAAACACAGCGAGTGCGCCAGCAGCTGAGAGTGGGTACTTACCCAATGTCTGCGGCAGGGCTGGGGCCCATTTCTAAGAAACTGATACGAGGAAGTCTATTCCGAGAGAAATGGAAGTTCACTCGCATCCTGAAAGTGCTGCTCATGAAACTCCCCAAGTCAACCGTGTGTTTCCTCCCCGCTGGGACAGCCGGCGAGTGAACGAGTGAGTTTGCAGATTTATAGACAACACGAAGGGTGTCCACTCGAGGGGCGCCCTCACCGGGACACCCGACGGCCAGAGATCGTCCAGCACCAGCCAGGCCCGCATCCGGGACCAGCAGGGTCAGGTAACACATCCCTTCTTCCTGAACACCTGGCCCCTGCGGCCGGAGCACGGCTTGCTCATCTTCCCTTGCCCATCCTCCATCTCTGCTCCTCCCTCTAAAGGTTCTCGGAACTAAGATCAGGAAGAGGAGGGGGACCTGCCTGTCTCCAGGGAGGGATGACCCACCATTTCAGACCCCACACCGTCACAGAACTCCTGGAGGCAGAGAGTCCAGCTCTCGTTTCTGAAAGGACTTTCCCGTTACCCCAGGACCGATGACACGTGGGGGTGGGATGGGCGAGGTCACCTGTTCCTCTGCCTCTCTTCCCAGGGCACACGCCCCGTGCCCTCCTTCTCTCTCGACCTGTGGTTTTCAAGAACCTTCTTTTTTAAGCCCTGGCTGGCGTAGCTCAGTGGATTGAGCTTGAGCTGCAAACCAAAGTGTCGCAGGTTCAATTCCCAGTCAGGGCACATGCCTGGGTTGCAGGCCATGACCCCCAACAACCACACATTGATATCTCTCTCTCTCTCTCCATCTCCCTCCCTTCTCTCTCTAAAAATAAATAAATAAAATCTTTTAAAAAAAAGACTCTTCTTTTTTAATGTACATTTTACTAACATGACCCCCGCCCGGATCAAACAACAGGACAAAAATAGAAACCCTAAACCGTGCTAGTGTGTGCCATCCCGGCCCCAGTGCACCGCCGCCCCAGAAGTGACCTACTATCCGGATTTTAACACCAGACCTGTGTGTGTGTGTGTGTGTGTGTGTGTGCGTGCATGCTTCGAGCTATATAGAAATGAAATCATATAGTATGTTCTTTTTTGTAAACAGCTTTTTTAATTTCAGTCAGTGTTAGCCAGGACCATGTAAAATAATGGTTATAGAAGCATTGCTCATAACAGAAAAAAATACCTGGATATTCTATTCATCAACAGTAGAATAGATAAATAAATTGTGGCAAAATCTTTTAATACTATACTGTAATATAGAGTAATAAATACTATAAACTGATAAAAAAATGAAGGACCTATGGCTATGTACAACAACATGGGTGAATTATGCAAAAACATACTTACGACTGAAAGAATAAAGTCAAAGGCAAATTTACTATTTGATTATGTTTCTATAAAGTTCAAAACCTGGCAAAACTGAATAATGCTGTACTTGGAACTACCCATGTAGGTATAAACTCCCCACAGAGAGCAAGGCAGCGGAGAATGCGCGGTTCTGGATTGGTTACTGCTGAGAGCGCCGTGACGGGCAGGGGCGTGTGAAGGCTCTCAGGGGCACCAGTGCTCTGGCTTTCGGTCCTAGTGGTTTGTACCTGGCGACCTCCCATTGCCTTTTAACATGCGTGTGCTTCTCTGGGTTCACGCCTTCGCGTATGCTGTATTTTTAATTCTTTAAATTGTACATTCCAAGGACACAAAACCAGACATTGCAATTCAATGGGTTGAGATGGCACCAAGAGACCTGAATTTTCATCGGGTCCCCCTAGGGATTCGGATAAAAGCAGCCCGAGGTCCACACTATTCCCGCATCCCCAACTATCTCTGTGGGTGTGAACTCTTCCTCCTTGGAACTCGGGATCTCGAAAAGAGCCCGAGGACGTGGTGAAAGCAGGCAGCTGGTAATAAATAAACACAACTCTCACAAGCACAGCAACGACCGCTTTACTATACAGACACAGACTAGCCATTTACAGAGGAGGACCCAAAGGAGCCGAGCTCCTGGGCCGCACAGGCAAAGTCCCACGAGAGCGCGGCGCAGGAACACCACCACCACACGCCTCCGTACCACGTCCGTACCGTCCAGAGAAGCCCAGCCGACCCTTAGGCCGTAGGTCCAAGGGTCTCGTACCTGAAAGTCACCCCCGCGCCCTCTCGGTTCACCATTCGCCTGTAAGAAAATAGAAAACCCTGGCGTGTTTATGAATACGAAGCTGTTGTCCGTGAACTTTATAGGAATCAAGTTTGTTGCAGGAAACGAAATGCGGAAAGATGAGACAGAGGTAACCCACCAGTCACCGTTAACGCTGAAGTTTTCTGAGATGCGTCATGTTAGAACCGTCCGTCCAGGCAACACTGTTTAACGGTTCAGAGCTCTGCTGGCGGGCGCCGCCATTCCAATCAGTCTCGCCGTGGTGCAGTTTTATTTTACAAATGTACAGATCGCGTGGCTGTATATACACATCGGGCACCCACTGCCATGGCTGCATCTCGGTGGCGGTGCCTGCTTTTCCGGCAGAAAGCCTCCCTTCGGCGCCTGGCTCCCAGCCAGCAGCCTCCGCAGCCGCATCTCTGCAAGAGCTGCCGCCACCACGCCCCGGGGAGCCTGGGCGCTGCGCTCAGGCTTTTCTCGCGGAGTGGGAGGAAGGATTCGGACTGATAAATAGTGTCTCGGGGGGCACGGCTCAAGCACGCGCTACACTTTGGATTTCTGTGCGTCCACGAGGCTGTAGGAGCCCCTCATGGTGGCTCTCCGGGCGAAGTACACGATGGTGCCAATGGTGGGGATGAGCAGGGAGGAGGCGCAGTAGAGCATGAGAAACCCGGGGGAGGAGTAGTCCCTCTCTCTTCCTGGAAAGCAACAAAAGGGCGCGGTTAGTGTCTGGCACACAAAGACACTGCTTACCGATAGTGTGGACGTGTGTTCACAGTGCAACTCGTCCGCGAAAGAGAAGTGGAACAAAGCGGTGGAAAGGGCCACGGGGAGCCCAAACGCACATTCCTCTGGACCAGCCGATGGCCGGTGGGCCATGGCCGTGACCGTGGCCATGCCAGGTCAGGAGGCTGTGCGGACCTCCACAGACCCGAGGCCATTTGGTTCAGGTTCGCTTGCAGAATGGAAGGAGGGGTGCAGTGTTTTAGGGCGCGTCCACGAGTGCGAGCCTGGGAGAGGCAGGTGTGCTGCGGGACACGGGGACACTGTGTCCCGGGGACACTAAGGAGCTAGGACTCGGATTGCCACCAACTGCCTGGACCAGCCAGCGTCCCCTGAAGTCCTTGCGACGTCCAGACCTCGATCGTACAGTCGAACCCCGTCTACGTGACAGTGAGCAGAGGGACTCCTACCAAGAATTTTCTCAGAGATACACGGAAACTTACGTTTCGTATCTCTGAAGTAGGGCATCCCTCTCCGCCATTTATATCATCGCTTGATAAACTGAAGTTTTTGGTTAGGATCGTATTTTAGCGTAAAGGTCACTCGAAGAGGCCTTCTCGGACCTGCACCTCCCCCAGCCCAGATATTCTTTCATAGCCCACGGTCCCTCGGCAGCTCTTACCACAGCATGCAATTAAGCATTTGTTGGTATGATTATCTATTCAATCTGGTCTCCTCCGGGAGACCGGATGTTACCTATTTTGGTTTTTGGTCCAGCACTGAATTGCAAATACCTGGCTCACTGCTTGGATTAGTTGGCACCCAATGTGTGTGTGTGTTTGTGTGTGTGTGTGTGTGTGTGTGTGTATTTAATAGTGGCATATTTTTTCTTTCTACCTCCTACTTTTGTCATTTGGTTGTAAGCTGGGTACAGAAGGGAACAGTATACAAAAACTAATATTAGTACTCTTTCTAACCTGCTAAACCTCATCTGACAGCTACAACAGTATTTCATATCTTAACCTTGTAAGACCAGCTGAAGAAGGCAGCAAGGCATTCGCTGGGGAGCCCTCTCTGTTCGTACTTATGTTTGTGTGACCTCTCAAGCGCTACATGTCTTCAGGTAGCACGGGTGCCGTCTCCGTCCTGGGAGAAGTGGGTGTCTGACTTTGGGGATCCCCACCTTCCCTCTGGAAGATTCTCACCACTGGAGGCCACCCACTGGGGTCCCGTTGGGAAGTCAACTTTTCAAATTATTAAAGTTAAAAACCCTTCACCCTAAACAGAGCGATCATCTCCTCGGTTTCCTCCGCTTCCCCTTGCTAGAGTGGAACGACCTCGTCAAAGAGGGAGGTCACGTGTGAACGGGGTGCCCGAGGTCGTAACTGCGGCTGGGCGACAATGTCGACAGCGTGTTGGGCAGGGCGTCTCTGCTCCTGTCATTTTCTTTAAATTAAATAAATACTATCTTTCGCCTTCATCGTGCCCCCAGGCATCTGCAGCAAAACACACATTTGCTGTTGAGTCAGCTCCCAGAGCAACGTCCGAATACACCTTTCGATCCGCTGTATAAACACTGAACATCCCAAAGGCTCCTGACCCCATCTGTCACTGGACCACACTCAGGCCAACACCAGACAGAGCTCATTTTAAATCTCAGCTAAACGCAAAGGGAAAGTAGTTTGAACTGCCTGGGTGAAATATCAGAGTCTTGCCCGCGTTCATTTGTAGTTATCTTAAACCGTATTAAGTCTTGGGGGGTGGGGGGCTGAATTCCCAGCTGACTTCCCAATAGGCTTTGAGCAATAGGTGACAACGGCAAAAATAGAAGTTACTAACTCAATAAAGCAGTCAGAAAAGACGACACTGTGCGAGAGGAAGAGTTAGGTAGCGGAGAAGCTCTGACATGTCTTTAAAGAGAATCGTCAGCCGTGAACGGAATCACAGACACGTTAGGCGCCCGGTTGCCGGGGGACCAGACTTCGTCAGCGGCGGCCTGGAGGCGTCGGGGATGAAAGGAAGGAGGGACGCGTGCGTCTCAACCTCCTCCTGACTGAGACCTCCTCCGTGCAGACTCGTCGCCCACGCTGGCCACGCACACCCCCGTGTCGTGCTGAGTGACAAGGTCAAGGCCCCACTGTCCGAACACAGAGTAACCCACTGGCCAGATCAACTGTTTTCAGGACAAGCACTTCGTGGGGGGGGGGGGCTAAAAGTTTTACGTGCAAGCGTGACACTGCCCCCTCCTGTAACACGTCTGGGTGGACGTACTGATATCGTCCTGTTTCGAGGACATGCTGTGAAGACAGAAAACAGGAGGCGAGGCTTGCCGTCGCCACAGCTTGGGCCGGATGAGGAAGACGTCGCCTGCTGTGCGCCCTGGGCTCGGACTCTCTTTACACTGAGAGGGGCTGCTGAGTCTCGCAGCCCCGCGCCAGGGGCCGAGAGGGGGGCCGCGCTTGCGCGCCGCCCCAAGCACCGCGAGCGCGGCTGCCAGCCCGCGGTGCGAGCCAGGAGCTCGCAAGGCGTGGGGGGCTGGTCAGAAAAGGCAGGTCCTACTGTTGTCCTTCACAGAGGGGTTTGGAGAGGAAGGGGTCCCTCAAGTTTCTCTGCGGAGACCATTGCCCCCCTCCATCAGCAGAGGGGAGAATGGACGAGGGGCTGGGGTTTTTAAGGAAGCCTTTCTGTTGTCTAGAGATTCTTTTACGTTCCACACGGAGAGGGCCACTCCTGATTGTTATCCTGAGAGGCGCCAATCCAGAAGATACACGGGGACTCTGTGTTCAGAGGGCAGGGTCCTCCCTGTTAGGAAGGGAACGGGTCTGGAAGCGACCCTCCTTCTCCCGTGTGCCAACCCTACTTCTTCAATTTTCTTGTAACCCACAGGGAAAGGTTTTGAAAATATGTTGAAACACTTAGGAGATAGAAGACCTCGGAGACCAATGACGAACTGTCGACTCTGCAAAAAAGCAGATGGGAGCTCAGCACCCACTTCCTGGCCAGGCCCCACAGGCCAGAGCAGCTGGGCATCACTATTTTCGGAAACATTAAGAAATAGCCATTGTCTGTGTCTTCTGTTATACTCGGATCCCTTACTTGTTTTGGCAATAAAAAATTTGTACTGCTTTCTCAAAAAAGAAAGAAAGGGGGGGGGGGGAGAGGAAAGAGAAAGAAAAGAGAGAGAGAGAGAAAGGAGAGAGAGGGGAGGAGAGAGAACCACCATCATGGAACTCAGCTCCATTTTTGCCAACCTGTTCCTCTAATCCTGAAAATTCTCCCCAGTCCACCAAAATCCTGACCTATTATTAAAAGTTATGGAAAACAGAAACGAAACCCAAGGTCTAACCTTTAACATCAAGTGTTAAACTTCTGAACTGCCAGCCACGCTCGCTTTTAGACTCGCATTCGTAGACTCCCGCGTCCTCTAGCTGCGCCTTGTGGATGACATAGGCGCCTCCCACAGCCTTTAGCACGGTGTCTCCTGTCTCCGCTTTTTTCTTCAGGATTATCCATGTTTTAGGGTAATTTCCACATGTACAGTAGATAGTGACAGTGTCTCCTTCCTGGACCCTCTCAGAAGGAGAAGCTCTAAGTTGCATGTCTTGTGGAGTGACTGCAAAGAGAATTTGAAAGGCACCTCTGATTGGGCGAAATGGAAACCAAGTCCTTATTAATGTTAACAGCAGCAACGATGGCTATCAAGGAGCTATGTTGGGGGTGACTGTTCGCATTAAGTGTGCAGAAGGGTGCACGAAGATGCCAGGCAGTGACCGAAGTCGTACATGATCATGTTTTTGATAGAAGACATTTCCCATGCTTCTTGCACGTCTCCTAATATGACCTTTTGCCCAGCCGAGCCCAGAGACATGTGTTTAATAAACAGCGATAGAAGTGCAATTTGGAAAGGAACTCTTTCATGCAACCAAAATGGTTTGCCCTTCCTTGAAGGACAAAGCTTTTAGGGGCTGGGCTACCTCAGATCACGAAACTCAGCGGCGCCGAGCGGGCTTTCTTCCTGCCCCGAACAACCACGACCACCCTTCACTAAGTGCCAGGCGTGGGAGCTGGCACCGGACGCACGGTCTCTCTAGTGCGGCAGAGCCCGTGGACAGAGGGCTCCGGCGCCACTCCACAGCTGAGCTGAGATGCCCCGTAAGTGTATCTGTCCTCTGACTTGATCCGAGTCTCCCCTCCACCGGAGTGACAGTATCGTCACATCCATCCTACAGGCTTTCCTTAGGGCTGTGCTTTGCCCTTCTAAAGTTCTCCCCTTAGAATAACAATTATCACGGAGACAAGGCAGTAACAAGAAGGCCACTAATGCCTTAGTGGAAATAACGCCAAGGAGTAAGAGAGGAAGCAATAGCAAGGAGTAGGGGAGCCCCAGTGAAGGAAAGCGCCCTGAACCTCCAAAGGGGAAGTTATGGGGGAAAACTCCAGATTCTGATCACTTCATGGCTTTGCCCAAAATCGCCTATCGTTTCCCCTTGTTTGGTCCTTGGTCTTGGCTGTCCATCTGGAGAGAGGCTCTGGGTCTGACTCTGGCGTTTCTATGCCACCAAGCTGACCCGGAGGACAGGGCCACTGCTACTCTTAATCTCGGCATTCACAAAAGGTGTCAGTGCCTCTTAGGCTTCTGAGCAAATACTAGCAGGCACCTTGCGGGACTGCCCCTGGGAGTGCAGTTCAGCCAGATAGGGAGGCTCTGATCCTGAGTCATTCTCCAACACATATACACCTCTTCTTAGTTATAGTGCAACACCGTATCGTCTCCTCAGGGTGACTGGGACATCTGGAGCCGTTCCTGGAGCTCACAGTCCACTTGAGGCTGAAAATGCTTTAGGATAAGAGACTTGGCACAGGCCGTGAGAAAGCACTGCCATTCCGGGCACTTCCCGTGCGCAGGACACATCATGAGCGCTTCAAAATCCTCGATATATATATATATATACACAAACATACATATACATACATATTTTTCTAGTGAAAATTTTGTTTCCAAAGTGGACTTCGGGATCATCTTTTTTGGGACTGTCTACACTTCCTAGACTTTTATATCTGTTTCCTTAAGCAGGTTAGAGAAGTTTTCCATCATTCTTTTTTCAAATAGGTTTTCAATGTCTAGCTCTCTCTCGTCTCTTCTGGTGCCCTATGATGCGAACATCGGCACACTGGGAGTTGCCCCAGAGGCTGCTTATACTCATTTTTGGGGGGTGGTTCTTAGCAGTTAGTAGCCCACAAGGGAGCTCTCATAGGTTGTCAGCTGATTTCTCAACAGAAACTTTGCAGGCCAGAAGGGATTGGCATGAAATATTCAAAGTGATGAAAAGCAAAGACCTACAACCGATTACTCTATCCAGCAAGCCTGTCATTTAGAATTGAAGCACAGATAAAGAGCTTCCCAGATAAGAAGAAGCTAAAGGATTTCATCACCACCAAACCAGTATCACAAGAAATGTTAGAAGGTCTTCTTTAAGAGGAAGGGGAAAAAAAATCAAAATATGAATAATAAAATGGCGATAAATACATTTCTGTCAACAGTTACTTTGGATGCAAAAGGGTTAAATGCTCCAACTAAAAGACACGTGGCGACTGAAGGACAAAACGACAACCTTGCATCTACCGTCTACAAGAGATTCACCTCAGACTGAAAGACACACACAAACCGTAAAGGGACAGAAAAAGATTTTTCGTGGAAATGGGAACAAACAAAAAGCCCGGGTAGCAATACACACGCCGGGCAAAATCGAGTTTAAAACAAGGGACAAAGAAGGGCCTGGCACCTCCACTTCTGGGCACTTAGCCACAGACTCCCAAAACTCTGTACGGAAAACACGCAGACATCCGTATGTTCAGGGCAGCGTTATTTCCAGGGGCCAAGACACGGAAGCAACCTAGGCGCCCACCAGGAGATGAGTGGATGAAGAAGCAGTGCATGCATGCAAGGGAGCATGACTCAGCCACAAACAGAACGCAGTCTTGCTGTCTGCAGCAACACGGAGGGACCCAGAGGGCATTGTGCTGAATGATACGAGTCAGACAGAGAGAGACAAATGCCACATGATCTCCCTTGTATGTAGAATCGAAACAACAAAACCAAAAAATGAACGCGCAGGACAGACGCAGAGAACGTTTTGATGGCTGCCGGACGGGAGGGTGGCGGGGGCCTGGGGGAGAAGGTGAAGGGGTTTAGGAGCGCAGACCGGTGGTGACAGAACAGTCATGGGAGGTGAGTTCAGCACGGGGGACGCGGTCGGTAATACCGCATGATCTACGTGTGCTGTCAGATGCGTACTACGTTTTATCGGGGCGATGGCTTTGTAAGTTACACAAATGTTTAATTACAGGACTATACACCTGAAACTAATATAACATTATGCCTCAACTGTAACTTAAATATAAAAAAAAATTTAAAAGAGGACTTTGGAGAAAACCAGTAACACAACCAAAATAATACCAACAATAAATTCATTAATCCCAGTCTGCTCACCTTGGACAATTAACTCGACTTCCTTTCTGCTGGTCCCAGCCTGGTTGCTCCCTTCGCACACATAAATGCCAGAATCTCCCCTTCCCGCGGAGGTCAAGGTCAGAGTTGTGTTCTCGGAGAGGAACTGCAGGCTCCCGTCACGCAGCTGCCTGCTCCACTGGATTTTCGGAGCCGGGAGGCCGTCGCCGGAGCAGGTCATGTTCACAGACTGACCCTCCTCCAGGGTGGAGGAGGGGCTGACCAAGACGGCTATATTCCTGGGGGCAACTGGAAAGGTAGGGACACCTGTTAGCTTGACCCCATGTGCCCTGAGTTCCACGGCGTTTTAATATTGCAAAACGGGGCTATGCGATCGATGGCTTGGAGAAGTTTATAAACCTTGGTAACTCCCCTGGAGGAGGCTTCGGTCCCCCTGTACTTTAGCAAGCACAGAGCCCTAGACAGGAAAAATGGACCCATCACGGCATTTTCTGGTGGAAATAAGTTCCGTAGAAAGGCTCGCTACCGAACAGTGGGTGATCGGTGATGGTGCGTCTGTATCGACACTGATGGCACACTCCCCGTGACCACAGATTACTTGAAAACCTCCTGGGAAAAGGCAGAGTCTGTGTTTCTGCCCCGTGTATCCAGGCTTTCCTGTGACCCCCTGTGACCCACACACCATGGAAGCCATGACACTGTGATTTCCCAACCCAAAGCTTAAGCGGCCGGCGTTCATTGTCGCCCTCCTGAAACACTGTGCACTGGTGACTAAACCCAGGCCCCCTTCCTTGAGGGGGAGACAGCACACAGAGGAAGGGAGGCCCAGGCACCCCAGAAAAGACCCCAGACGTGGAAGTGAGGCCGTGTGGGACCAGCCACCCTGCACCCCGACCTGCCAACTGGCTCGCACGAGTGAGTGCATCTCCTGTCACGCTGACCAGATGACCCTCCAAAACTGCCCGCTCCTGGGACTGTAGGCTGATAGATGGTCATTGTTCTGGGTGTTGGGGGAGCTTGGTTATAATAATCATTATTTTGGAACTCCTTTTCAGTTTTGTTTTCTCACAGAGGTTTTAACTCATAACCTCACGTGGACAATTGCCTGGCCAACATGGTAAAGCAAGATGGTGAAGGGATTAACCACAGAACTTCCGGGCACAACCCCTCGACACCGACCACAGTGTGGGGACGGACTAGGGGAGGGGCGGGGGCGGGGCTGGGTGGAGGTCGGGAAAGGGAGAGAAAGTAGGAGCAACTGTCCCAGCTTAAACAATAAAAATGTTAAAAATGTAAAAAAAGAAACCCCCGTTAGGCTGCGGAGGCATCACACTTACTCTGAACACGAAGCGTCTGTGCGCTCTGCCTTTCTTTGGGTTCAAACTCCATCTCATCGATTTGTAGCTCAGCCCGACAAACAAGCACTTCGCCAGTATCGTCCTCGGTGGGGGTGAAGGTCATTTCCACACTCCCGGTCTCCAGGGAGTCCTTCTCCAGGGCCTCCAGAAAGCTTTTACTCTCCACGAGCCTCTCTCCCTTCAGCAGCTGCATGTGCAGCCGGTCCAGAGGGTACACGTCGGGCACCCTGCACCTCACCGTGGCTGGCTCTCCGTGCACTAGCCCGCCGCTCATCTCGATTTCTGGGTCTCCGGGGAACGCTGCGGGCAGCAAGCAGAAGCGATCTTTGGATGTGACATTCAACAGCGACACTGAGCCAACCTCTGTTAAGTGCAAAGGCCTCAAAGGCAGTGTTAGATCCCTTGGGATCGAATGATCTCCAATATAGAACTAATGACCTTAATGTAAAGATTTATGATATTAAATACATATAACACTGGAGACAAGACCATAGTAAATGAAGTAATCGAGTAATAAATATACCATTTTTGCTTCTTAGCATTGTCATCTTCCTGACAGCCGTAGATTGCCTTTTAGAGGGACTTTGTGAGCTTCCACCATCTCATTTGGTAACCACAGATTTTAAATGTTTTAAATGTTTGCTGTGATGTGTTGAGGATTTACTGTGTGCTAGCGCCTTAATATAGCTTAGTCTTCAAAACAGCCTGATACTGTGGCCATTGTGTACCTTATTTTACAGCTAGGAAACTTGTAGAGAACTTGTTTTACAGCAAGGGAAACTTACAAAACTCGTAGAGGCAAAGAGACTTCCGTTAGGCATTATGTGGAGGAAGTCACTGCGTGGAGATAAGAATTTGTGTTTCTCTGAGCTCAGAGCTCACGCTTGGTTTCACAGAGCCCAGCAGGCCACTGGGTATCGCTGAAGACCCACGGGGGCCGTTCTTCAATTTAGACATTTCCAGTGGCCAAGGTTAGGCAGCCAGTTTTAAATATTTCTCAGACAATACTTGGTAGTTAAGAAAAAAACTGTAAGAAGTTTCGGTTCTGAATAACATGTATTCTACAGCTTATACGAAGCACTAAAAACAAGGCTAAAGTAGTCACCCAGAGCAAGAACAATGCTAACAATTTTTCCCCAGAAGTAAAGTGTTGTTGAAGCGATACATCCTCAAATATTTACGTATGGCAACGGGACCCCCCCGCCGGTTCTGGTTTCTGCTGGAGACGTGCCTACAGCAGCGGATCCTGGACCCTGGGCCCCACAGAAACGCAGCGAAACCCGCCACTTAAAGTCGGGCTCTAACGCATTCCCAGCAAGTCCTGACAGGGACACAAGTGTGGGCGGGTTTCCTGGCAGAAAACCTCCGCGGTCTGTTCTCCTGCAATCTGCTGGATCAGGCAAGGCAGAGTCGCTTCGCATGCACTCTGTCCCTCGCTCATGGAAACAGAGGAACTGCAGCAACGTCAAGTTCACAGAGATCGGAGGTTGTAAAGGGTTCCTATCGAGGTGACCGGCACGAAACGGTGTAGTAACGTGTACGCAGCTCAGTCGGTATTGGCACCTGGCACCGCCTGCCGCCTCTGCCTGTCACCTGAGCGGCTGCCCCTGACGGTCTGCTCTGACTCCCCATCTCCCCGCCTTCCTTCCCGGCTTCCGCCTGCTCCTCGTTGCCTCGTTTTCCCCATCTGCCCATCCGTTTTGCAAATGTGCCTTCAGAACAGTAGGCTCAGGGCATACCCCGAGTTCCTATCCAGGGCAACTGCCATCGCTCCCCAGTTACCCGAATGGTCACGAGCCCTGCTCCCTGCCGTCACCTTGAACACTGCACCCCAACACACACACAGAGGGCGTGGGAGGCAGTGAGTGCCCTGGTGTGTTCCTGCGCACGCGCGCGGTGACACGAGCGGTGACAATGCCCAAGGACGCTGTGTGTGTATGGAACAGGTACCGAAGACTTAGGCCAAGTAAGCTGCGTTGGAAATTCTGTGTTGGGGAACTTGGAACCGTTCCCAGTGCTAAGTCCCCTTCCTAAACACACAGGTCTCGTTCTACATCAGCTTTGTATTACGTCACTTCCAATAGAATTGGCGGGGGGGGGGGGGTGGGAAACAGCAAAGAGTTCTGAAAACTACTCACAGTAGAGGTCCACCTTAATCGTCTTTTCCTGTTTCCTGCGTCCACAGGTCACGGTGCACAGGTAAGAACGTTCGTGCTCGAAACTCACAGGGCTCAGGGTCAGCTTGGACGAGGTGCCCGCGGGCCTCACCTGCCCATGCAGGGGGCTGTCTATCTGGGTCCTCCAGGAGAAGGAGGGGGCCGCGCAGCCCGAGGTGCTGCACGTCAACTCGACCGAGGCACCGATCCGAGCGGCAACCTGGGGCCCAGGCGAGACCTCAACGGTGAACGGTTTTTCTGGGGGAGGAAAGGAGAGGGCGGAAGGAAGGTGAGATGATTTTCTTCTCTCAGCCTATTCCAATATAAGACCTTTTTTTTCTTGATTTCCTTTACGGAAACATCTGTGCCAAGAACAAGTCGCTCCTTTTCCCCTTGGGCCCACCAGGGACGAGACCCCGTCTTGTAAGAACGAACCCACCATAGTCTGCGGATTCACTCGTGGAACAGAATGAATGTGGCTAAAGATTTGTCCAGACAGAGGGTGGCATCTTTCCCTCCCAATAATCCAGTCTCTGCTCAAATACAGCTTACCGAATCCCTGCCACAGTGGGGAACCACACAAAAAATGTAAGAGGTTCCAGTGTATTCGGCGTTGTGTAAACCGTTTGACATACATGATCTCGTTTAATTCTCACAACAACTTCACGACCTGTTGCTGTGAGTTCTTCTCCTCCTCCTCCTCCTTCTCCTCCTTGGGGAAATTTGAGCTCAGACATGCTGAATAACTTTTACCCAGCTCATGAGTGACAAGATTAAGGCTTGAAGCCAGGCGCGTCTGACTCCAGATCCCAGCTTCTCGGCTGCTTGGACAACGAAGTCCGGTCAGCCTCGTGTGGAGACAAGCCTACGAGGTCGGAAAAAGGCTACAGACAGAGGTCTTCCAATCAGAGGCCATGCCCATAATGCACCGGCGCCGAGAGCTTTGCGCCAGCGACGTGACGTCATACCATTGACAGTCACTCGGAGAAAGCAAAGCCAAAGTCTAGGCAGTAAAGTGACACATACGCCACCTCCAAACTTCATTTGATGCAAAAAAAAAAATACTTCACAGTCCATTCAGGGACTGCAAACGGAGGTGGAGGGCAGACCCCCGAGATTCCGGGGTCCAGGAGAGCTCTCTGGCTGCCAGCGCTATGCCCGCTGGGCACGCACACCACCGTCTGGGGCTGGGGGGGGGGAGCCCGAAACCCCCACTCCGCTCCCCTGAGGAAACTGGGAGAGCTGGGCGACTCCGCAAGTGACAGAGGGGACTCCACAGAAAATCACTGACACTGTCCGTGTAAACAGCAGGTTGGGGATGGAAGGAAGACATCTCAACATCTAAATAATCTCTTCTGTGCCAGAAGTTACTTTCCTCGGTTGGGTTCGTCTAGTCATGACGTTGCAGCATCCTCCAAAGAAGGCTGGCCGGGAATGAGCTCCACAGATTGCTAAGCTACCAGATTCAGGCAGAGACCATTCCGAATTCCTCACACACTCGTGTGAGAGGGGGGGACTGTAAAACAGAGCCACTTCCTGCCTGGGGACCAGTCTCAGATCATTTTTTTTTTTACAGTGGCTGCGTCTACTACCATGCGGATTTGTGGGTCCTAAGGGAGTGCTTACTAGGTAAGGAAACGTCTTCTGAAAGTTCAGTTCTCTCTTCAGTACTTACCCAAAGCTGTGAGGACCCTGCCGTGCAGAGTGCAAAGCGACCCTCCCTACCCCCCCGCTGTGGTGTTTCCCTCCCCCTGAAATGGGACTCGGGGGGGCGATGGGGTGGGGCTGTCCTGGGCGGCTGACGACCTCGGGGTGGCATCTCTCCTGGTGTCCCCGCCGTGCTGCCCTAACCCCCAGCCGCGTTCACCCGCTGACGGTGACTCAGAGTTTCACTGTCTCAGCCGTCCAAGCTGAAGTCCCCTGTCTTCAGATACGAGAAACGCGAGTGGCCCGTGTTTATGGCTGATGCGTCCTGCACCTACCGGGCACCCACGGTGCGGCTGGCACGCGGCTGTGACGAGTGTGCGATGGATAACTACCTAAGCGTGCCGCCGTGCGCGTCAGCGAGGCGGCCCATCCGTACGTAAAGCTCCAGGGAGCCGTTCTGGCTGGAGACCCAACAACGACCGCCCTTCTGTCTCCCTGTTTCACGCGCTACTCACCCTGCACAAGCAGCTCCACCTCCTTTCGGTCTCTCCCGGCCGGATTGACGCCCTCGCACACGTAGACGCCGGAATCCTCCGGCCGCATGGCCACGAGCGTGAGCGTCCCGTTCCCGGACAGGAGCTGCGGTCGCCCGCCGCCCAGCGTCCTGCTCCAGGTGATCTGCGGCGCCGGCAGGCCGTCGCTGGTGCAGGTCATGGTCACGGAGCCCCCTTCCTGCAGCCTCGTGGAGGGGCTCACAGAGACCACGGTGTTCCTGGGCGAGACTGAAAAGGCAGGCCACGTGTGAGCGCCACCTTGACCCCAACAGGGACCGCGCCTCCACGCACGCCCTCGGATTCAACGAGCCTGCTGCGTCAGGCTGGGAGAAAGAACCGCGGCGTCCTGGAAAGCAGGTCACCTGGTCTCCGACTAATTTGACTGGGTGAATTCTGGGGGCTGTTTGGTGTTTTCAGATGGCCACAGGTGCTCAGGAATTAACACAGACCCTGGACGGGTTCCTTCTCCGCCCCCTTGCCCAGGGCCGTCTGAGTCACCTTCCACACGCGGGGCTGAAGCCTGCCCCCACCTCCCAGAACAGCCCCTGTGATTTTGGGGGGCAGCGCTAATTATTAGCACATCTTCCCCTGCTGAGCTGAAACCCTCCTCTTCGGAGCTGGCTTCTGCACGGCGGCCACAGTTCCGTCCTCCGCCATTACAGAACAAAGTAAATCCCTTTTCCACAGGACTGTCTTTCAAAGATGTCATGATAGCCCTCTTCTCCAAGTTCTGTGTTCTCCAGGGAAAACATCCCCTGGCTTCAAATACTAACTGTTTTCCAAATACTAACCAGCCTTTCCATTGCACTCTCTTTCAAACATGCTCTGATTGGCAGTGTCCCCTTGCGACGTGGTGTCTGGAGAGGAACACCGCACCTGACCCCAGAGCGGGGAGGCCCCTCTCCCCGATTCTGGGACCAGGAGACCGCCTCGAAACCCCGGCAGCCCCCGGGAATGCGGGGCCATCGCGGCTCATCCCCGCCCTGCCACCCAGTGCCCACATGTGAACATACACTCACGCACGCACACACACAGAGTCAGTGCTCGCCTGCTAAGACCTCGCTATGTCAGGGCATAGTGTAAGCGTTTACAAAACACGATCACAAAAACGGCACCCTTCTGAGCCCGCTTCCTGCTGCCTCATCGGGCGGTGTCATCACTGCCCGTGGACAGACAGGGAAATAGAGACATTGAGTGACCCAGGTTCACATGGTTAATGGAGCCAGAATTCAAGCTCCAGGCTTGGTAACCCAAACCCGGGGCTCTTTTCACTGGAATACACTGCTGACAACTGTGCTGTTCTCGGTGAACGGGGACAGCAGAGCAGGTTGCTTTCTGACCTAGCAGCTGAACGCACCGCTGTGCACACCCACGGCTGCGCTCCCGCGAAAGCGCCACCGCGCCACAGAAACACTCACTGTGGACCTGCAGGGTTCTCCTCTTCTCCCTCTTTCGCAGCGCCTCGTCAATTTCGCTGATGTGCAGCTGAGCCCGGCAGACAAGGGTTTCCCCAATATCTTCGTTGGTGGGCGTGAAGGTCACTTCCAAACCCTTGGTTTCCAGGGACTTCGTCTCCGCGGGCTCCAGAAACTCCTGATTCTTCAAGAGCCGGTCGCCCTTCAGCAAATCCATCTCCAGCCTTTCAAATGGGTAAACATCACGCACCAAACACGTGGCCGTGACGGGCTTTCCAACCTCCAGGGGGCCGCTCAGCTGAATCTCGGGGTCCTTGGGGAAAGCTGCAAAGACCAGGGGGACACGCGTGAGTTGTGTCGGGTCCTTGAGTGACTTCCTGCGATGCAAACCGCATCTAACGTTTCTGTTAGCACAGCCTGGAGTCGTCGCCCAAAGAGCCTTTTGCGGTTTGGACAGGTTCACGCATCGACCGCCTTTTAGCAAAGTCTTCAGTTCTGACCCTGCGTGCACTAAGTAAGGTGTGTACGCTACTAGAGTAAAAGGAGGGAGAAGAAATCAATGCCTAGTAAATACTTACATGAGCCCACCCCTGTACCATTCATTTAACACGAATGGTTTTATTTTACCCTCACAATGGCCCTGGGAGGCAGAGACCGCCCTCCACAGCTACGAAAACACAGGCCCCAGCGCTCTCCGCCACACAGCTAGCCCCGAGTCACACGGCCAGTGAGGGCTGAGTTGTTACCGCAGGTTTACATTGTATTGTGTCACCTTCTCCTATTTTAGGACAGATATATTTCCATTTCCCGGGTAAGGAACTGGAGGTTCCAAGCGTCATTGCCAAGAATAGCAATTGGCCAAGATAAGCCAAGAAATGAAGAGAGCCGCAGTCAACAATCGGCTCCCGCCAAGGGGGCCTCGGCCAGGCACTGCTCCACCCGGAAGGGCCGCCCGTGCAGCCTCTGACTTCTGGAAGGCAGGCCCGACTCAGTGCCCTAACAGCGTGCCCTTGAACCTCTCCGTGCCAAGGGCAGGCCCTGCTTCAGCCAGCCACCTTTTCCTCGCAGACCTTCGTGAGGGCGGCACCTGGGCTGGATTCGAGCCTGTGTAACAGTAACTCGAAGGCCACAGCTCCAAAGAACAGGGCGACCGAGTGTGGAAGGAAGGCAGGGCTCTCAGACGTAATGAGAGACAGACGGACCTAAAGAAAAACTTCAGGCCGGGTAATGAAAGCCAAAAGGTCCTTCCTTTCCCTCTCTCCCTCCCTCTCCTTCTCTCTCTCTCATCCTTCAGCTATTTGGGACTTGCGAGTGAGAGCAAAGGAGCTGCAAACCTTTCATGTGAAAGCAGCACAGTTTTCCCACCTTCCCACCCATAACTTCTGCCCCTCGTATTCCATAGCAACTGTGCCTGTAAGCCTCCCAGTCTGCTTGCTGCCAGGGAGCATAAGAATTTGCCCCTTTTCCCTGTATTTACATAAGGGGGCCTTTCCAGGGGCCGCGCACACAGACGCTGTGCGTGCACAGCCGGCATAATTGAAAGCAGCCCGCCAGGCGCAGCTTCTCCGGAAGCCCGAGCAACACATGGGGCTCGCCGGAGAGGCAGGGCTGCCGGGCGGAGCTGAGCCGCGCCGCAGCGCGAGGGGAGCCATGTAACTGTAAAGCAACCCCGTGAGGTCTTCGAGGAGAGGTGAGCGCAAAGCATTGCAGTTTGTGTTTTGATCTGTGGTGTCGTGCTTGGGTTTTGAAAGAGAGTGGTCCTCGGTAAGCAAAGGCCAGTGATTTATTTCTGTTGGTTTTTCGCTCCTCCTGCTAACTTGATGTGCTGCATTGAGCATAGACTGGGCTGTGTTTTGGTACACTGGGAAGCTGGGGCTATTCATTCACATGTACAGGGCAGATCTAACTTCTCATACGAACACCCTGGAAGTGGAGCAGGTGGACAGTGAGGGTTAATAATGACAAAAGCAACAGGCTCTGAAACTGATCTGCACCAGAACCACGTGAGTGGTGTGTGTACAGATGTTCCTTATGTCCCAGGGGGACACGTTTGTCCACTCGTCTACCACGGAAGGACGCGTCGCCTGCTTAAACTGGTTCTGAGCACCGAGCTGCACGAGGCTAAATAAGTGGGAGACCCCGGAAGGATGGGGTTCATAAATCATTGAGACGCATGGCTGAGTCAACATGGAAGGATATAATCCAGCAGAAAGCTGGGGAAAGTAAGACAAAAAGAACCTTACAGGTCTTCATTTCAGGGCTCAGCAAAGCGAAGCCCAGAGAGGCTGAGCCTGGCCCGCGGTCCCCCCGTCTGCGGCAGAGCTGGGGACAGGAACCCGATCTGGGGGCCGGCCCCACGCTAGACTCAGCTGTCTCTCTAACTTTCTTGGTGCAGTGCGTCCTCTGGCCGAGAATCTAGACATGGACAGTTTTTCTTTTAAACACACCCCTTCCAGAAACCTGCTTTAATGCAAACTGAAAGAGAACCAACGCTTCTCCCAAGTACTCACAGTAGATGAGCACCTCGACCGCCTTCTCTTCTTTCCTGGCCCCGCAGGTGGCGGTGCACAGGTAGGAGTGCTCGTTCCCGAAGCTCACGGGGTCCATGGTCAGCACGGACGTGTTCCCCTCCTTCCGCACCCTCGCGTTCAGCGGGCTGTCTATCTGGGTCCTCCAGGAGAAGGAGGGGTCCGCGCAGCCCGTCGTCCTGCAAGTCAGCGAGGCGGAGGCGTTGATCTGCGCCACGATCTGGGATTCGGGGACGATCTCGATCGTAAACGCGTGAGCTGCGGGGGCAGAAAGAGACAAGCACAGTCACACGGGTCCACGCGGTGTTCTCCTCTCCTCTGGTCCAGGGTCACGACCACGCTATCATCCGGCCAGACTCTTCCCTAAACCACCTCCGGCTAACTGCAAGGCGGCCAGAAGGCCTTGGCGTCCCTCCAAAGAAGGTGTTGAAATTATCTTCACTTAGTGAACTCTCGGTTCCGAGCACGGAGCCCGTTTATCGGGCTTGTTTTGTTCTTTGCTAAGTTTGATCTCATTATGAAGCACAGGAAACCGAAGCGATAGCTCTTACCAGAGACAGAACCCAACTACTCGCGGGGGAAAAAAGTCTCCAAAAAAACATCCATTTGCAGCACCAGCTATGACCCGATAATGATACACAGCAACACTCAGTAAGCAGCACATCACAAGTCAGGGCCAGCGAAGTTTCCCCACAGTATCAGTGCCCCAGCGCAAAAGTGACAAAAGTGACAGAAGTCAAAAGCAGGGCTGAAATGGAAGGCAAACACTCGCAACAGATCGGGGAGAACTTACAAGCCACCAGCACCATCCAAAGTATGTTGGAGACCCCAAAAATCACGGCCATCTTCCCCGGCACGTTCAGTTGCCGCCCTGCTGAGAAAGTAGTGGTCCCCAAACGCTCCCTTCTGTGCCCCTTCTGTGCCCCTTCTGTGCCGGCAGAAAGTGCTTGGGAAGAGCCTTCAGCTCCTGAAGCACCAGGCTCAGTGAGGAGTGACCTGGAAAGTCTGCTCCTTATAAAGGGTCTCCCAGCAGAGGAGGCGGGAAATCCCTTCAAGGGGAAACCCGCAGAGGCAGGAAAAAAGTTTCACTGGCAGCCGGCCAAGTGCAGCCTTAACCCCTTCAGCTGCCGACACAGCTGAAAGGGACTCTCTCCCCCGGAGAAAGGACACTTCTGAGGCCAGAGAATTAAAGCTTTTCCTGATTTTCACTCCAAAAGGACATGTTTGCAGCAGAGACAGAAGGCGAGGCTCATTACCGAATGAGGCTTTCTGATCTGAATCCAGTGGCGGGGAGGGAGGAGGAAGGGAGGGAGAGGGAAAGAATGGTGAATTACACTTCAGTTTTTGAGGTAGCTAAATAACCACTGTGGCCCATGAATTGATTTTTCTCCACAAAGAAGATACATTTGCAATTTTAAAACAGAGCCCAAGGTTCCTCTTGCAAGAAAAAGGACAAGGTTCTGTCTTTTGGATGAGTTTTTTAAAAGGCAGACAGTACAACTTCTTCGTTTAAAGTTTTTATTCCTAAAAATAGTTTTGGGGTGTTTTTTTTTTACTACAAATATCAACTTTCTGAAATGGTTTTCTTCAGTGGAAAGTAAAGAAATGCTACCAAAATAAGAGAAATCATTTTTTTTTCTTTTATTTCAGAAAAGTCACCAAATATTTGGTTCAGTTGCCGGGTAATTGGGAGTCTTTTGCAGACTTACAATAAATATAAATGTATGGACTTCATCGAAGTGGGAAATCTCTTGGACGATGAGACTTTACCACAAACACAGTGAAAACCTAGAAAATAATTTGTTCTTGTCATGTGGGAGGTGGCGATAACCATTTTTACGCTCTTTGTCCTTCCTCGTGCCCCCCACCCCCACGCCGAAATGACTTTTTTAAACCTGTTTGGACGTGGCCTTGCATTCGCACAGCTCAAGTCCTTGCAAACTGCTTGCCCATCAGAAAGAAACCGGAACAGCCACTTCCTTGCGTCCCACACGTGCAGGTCCGCCTTCCCCGTTGGACCGCCAGTTCCTTTTACGGCTGGGGCCCGTTCTCGCGCGTCATCGTACCTAGCCCCGCCTTCCCAATACCTAGCATGTGCTTTTGCACTTAGTGGGTACAAAAAAAAAGAGTGCAAAAACAAACATTATAAATTACAATCTGGGAAAGAAACGTGCAGGGCTAGCGGTACTGTGTAACTACTGCGTGCGGAAAGTGCCGGATTCTGTAAGAAAATCCCGGCGCTCAGAGACTCCCAGGGTGTGTGCAGTAAACCGCACTGTGGTGCGTGGCACAGGCCGGAGGGCCGGACCGAGGCTTGGAGTCAATCCACAGCTGTCTCTCCGCGGCCCGGGCGCTCCGGCACCTCCGCTCGGAGTGCGGAGCGCGAGGCTCCCGCTGGAGGGGGCGGGGGAGGAAGAGACGCTATTGGAAGGGAGGGCTGGGGTGCTGCGCGAGTTTGCTGTCACCTACCCAGTATCGCGAGATCAGAAACGTGGCTTCGGGCAAAGCTGGCTGGTACACGGGAAACCTGGAGGTCCTTGACGGGGTCGGTGTCTCCCGAGATGATCGGAGCCCGTAGTGCTGTCTTCTGTGGCCTGTCTGCACACTCAGGTGGCTTCATTTTTTTTTCTCACCTCGGCATGTAGCCCCAAAGAGGGTGTTCATTAACGTTTGTGGAGTGAGTGAGTGAGTGAGTGAGTCGAGCTGCCAGGGGAGGGCTGACAGTTGGGACTAAGCCTCCCAGAACGAGTGTTGCTGGGTTCTCTCTTTGAAAGTGTGCAGTTCATCACTTTTGTTAGTAGTAACATGGAAGATATGATTATCTCACTTATTCGTAACACATGACTAGGACATATAGATGACCTGAGAGGTGGCAGACTCAAGGTGAGGAAGAGCTCTAAGGATGTAAAAACGGAGCAGAGGACGCAATGACATTTAACGGGAATGCGTCAAGTCTGGCGTCTAGCTGGGACAGTTCGATACCCGAGCACGGTGCGGAGGAGCGTGGGCTGGACTGCAGTCCGCGGGCAGACCGTGTGGTGGTGGTGGTGGCGATCCGTGCAGTGAGCACGCACCAACATTGCCGCAAGAAACCAAAAGAGATGCAAGAAGTTCAAGCTGCTCTCATGATATTCAACCTCTAAGCGCCCAAGGCCCCGGGCCCCGGGCCCCGGGCTCTGGGACCAGGTCCGGAGCAGGTGTCTCATTCCGCACACCATTCCCTAGGAGAGAGGCTGAAGAAAGCAGAGAGGGTGCCTGGAAGAAAATGATCAGGATGTTTGACAGCCCCAAAATCCCTGACTCAGTCGGAAGAAGCAGGATATTCTGTTTGGACAAGAGAAAACTTGGAAGCCGTGTGACAATTCAATGACTGATGCACGGAGGAAGGGATGTGCTTGTTGCTCTGTGTTATATATACCAAGGGCTAAAAGTAGGGCTCGCTGGTAAGCAGTTACTACCGTATTTTGCTGTGTATAATGCGCACCCAGGTTTTTGGCCCAAACTTTCAGGAAAACAATCTTTTGTTTTAATGTTTTAATTCAATTTTATGTACTTCTATTTAGATATTTGTTTTTTGTATTATAATGGAATTTTAGCATTTATTTTTGAACATATTATAGCACAAAAAAGTTTATGTAACAAATAATTACAACACACGAGAACAGATACAAGGTATTTCAGGTACTACTCACAGATAATGCGCATCCTTATTTTCCCCTCAAAAATCTGGGCAAAAAAAGAGCACATTATACATGGCAAAATATGGTAATTCTAGGAGGGCCAGGAATGTGTCTTGTTCACCATTCGAGCGTCAGCACCTATCACAGTGACCGGTGGATAGCAGGGGCTCAGTCCCTCGATACTGAACAACTAAATGATATCAACTTGAAATAGAGCCTGACTTTGAGCTCAATAGTCCTGAGTCCAAACCCAGCCATCCCCCCCCCCGCCCCAGGAATTGTAAAACCTTGCACAAGTGTGGGCAGCCTCTCTGCACGTGTTTGCACGTGCTCATATTAGGATAACAGTACCACTTTGAGTGATTCACAGAAGTTTTGTGACTATCAAATCAAAAGTGATTGCGTGAAATCTCTTTAAATGAATATATAAAGCGCTATATAACTGGCATGTGATGATATTCGGTGCAGTCATATTAAGTTCATTGTAAAGAAGGGCTCTGCAGTTATGTTTTTTTCAACAACGCAGCGGGTCGCCTGGGGAACGCATCTGCTCCCAGTCCCTGGAAGTGGTCGAGCAAGGCCGGGGTCACCTCCTCGCCATGGGGTGGAGGCCAAGTTTTGCCTCAGGAGAGACACCCGTTGGACGGCCACTAAGGTGCCCTGGAAGGTTAAGCTTCTGTTATCAATCCCCTCGTGGTCCTGTGACGATTTGGAGCACCCTCTGATGCCTCTCTGGTGGGACTCGGGGGCTCAGGCGCGCTCCTTTCGCCCGTGCAATCACGGCTGGGCGTGGAGCGGCGCCAGCTCTCCCACGGCTTCCGTGTGGCCCGTCTGTCACGGGCCTTCCTGGGGCCAGAGTCTCCCAACGTTTTGTCTTGAGTGACCTAACACCGTCTGAGGGAAGTGACGTTCCCACGGCACCAGTGGCTCATTATGGCGGCGACTCTCACCCAGGAGAGAGGACGGGCAATCCTGGTGTTGGAGGACGCGTCAGAGTGGGGTGCGGGGAGGGACAGGCCTTGCGCAGAGCCATCAGTGTCTACTCCTCCCGTCGCTTCAGCTCCATGGCACACATGGGAGTCTCTCACAGGGGCCTAGCCAGTGCGGGTGCTCAGGGTCCGAGGGCCAGGCCTGGGTCAGCCACGGGAAGGAAACATCAAGGACTGAGACTGAGTCCCACTCCCGGTCTGTCATCCTCAGCAGGTGCCTCACGCCGTGGTCCTGAGATGGCTGCCCCATCTTCAACGACCGCGCCTGTCTTTCAGGCAGGAAAGGAGGGGAAGTGAGGGCAAGAGCACACGGCCGGAGGGGGTCGCCCCCTTGTAAAGGGCTTTCCGAGGACTTCCAAGATGCCACTTCCACTTACGTCTCCCGGAAAAGGTAGGAGACTGAATATTTTGTTCAGCATTCAGCTGAATATGTCGTTGTTCCAAGGAAACCAGGATTTTGTCCATAAGAACACAGTGGGGACAGAGCAAACAATATCCCTGCCCTTACGGAATTTACATTCTGGTAAAATGTAACCAAGCCACACAAAAAAACGTGAGGAGCGCACGGACGCGCAGCGGGAGGTGGAGGAGGAAGGACAGGGGGGCAAAGCAAACACAGGTGGAGGGGCAGCGTTGGGACAGGACGGCGAGTGTTTATCCAAACTGCTCCTCTCGCTTCCCCTTTCTCCTGTCCGTGTTTTTTCTAAAAAGGTTGACCGTGGCCTGAGAGACAGAATGCAATATGAAATACGTAGCTGAGAAGGTCCCACAACTAAAAACGCCACCGGCTTTGCTCCAAGCAGGGGTAGCTGCAGCAGGCGTATTCGGCAGCGCCGCGGTAACCGTGAGGGCGGGTCTGCCTGGAGCACGGGAGAAGGGGACGCCGAGACAGAGCCATAGGCCGGTCAAATTCGGCTCGCAGGAGAGTAAATAAGTTGGTATAAATAAGGAGGCATTGGTCAGAAAGTAGGAATCTGGAAATCAAGAGTTTGGTTAGGAATGTTACGGGGCATACCAAGTGTCAGAGAACGACTAGGAGAGGAAATGATGAAAATGGGGAAGGGTCGATGACTGTCACGAACACGAAGGTTCAGAAAATCGGTGGCTCGGCCTAGGAGGGTTTTCAGGCTACGAAGAATAAAGATGGGAGTCGTGCAGGGGCGGGGACTGAGGCAGGTGTCAGAGCCGTTCATGAATGAGGCAGGGCCCCCGGAAGGGGTCAGGAGGTTAAAGAAGACCGCGTTGGGCAGTAGTGGCGAGGAGAGATGTTTCGGATTCGGCACTGAGAAGACAGAGGACCTCCGATGGAAGCCGCAGGCCCGGGGGCGCGTGGGGGTCACCACGTGGCCGGGCTCCAGCCACGAAACCAAGGCAGGCTCCCATCCAAGTGACGAGATGAAAGGGAGCCTCGGCGAGGGAAGGGACTCCCAGAGATTTTGCAGGTGGCTGATCTATCTCACGTTCTAAGGGGCGCGGGGAGAGTCTCGGGAGCTCAGGGTCAGGAAGGCAGAGGCGCTGAGGGTGAGTCCGGAAGTGTGGGCTTGTACGGGGAGGTGGAAGGTGCCCGGGGGGGTCCCTCAGAGGACGGTCTGGGCTCAGTCCTAATTGTCGCCGCCTCCTGAGTCCCCTTCACAGGCAGTTGCAGTCGTGGTCAGGCTACAACGGGCAGGGGGTGCGGGGTCTTTCCAGGAGCTCAGTGAATTTGGGAAGAAGGACGGAAGGGAGGGAGGGAGGCGGTCCCGACCGGAGTAGTAGAAGCCCAGCGTTCTCCCTCCCATCCCACGGGAAGGTCACTACTGTTTGCTGACCTTGCTCTATCCAGAGAGATTCGGACAGGCTCCTGAGGATAAAAACAAGCACTAATGATACTTGCAGCCTGTCCCAGGTAATCTCTCCATCCCACCCAATTTACACATCACATGTTCAAGATTAGGTGAATTGTTGGAAGATACTATAACAATATCTCACATTTGTAAAGTGCTTTTAATTTTTGTTAATTCTAAAAATATTTTATCTCACTCGAGTCTCCTACACAGTCCTAGGGACTCTGCAGGGGGAGTGTTTTGATCTCCATTGGATGGAGGAGGACACGGAGACCCGCGGGGTTAACCGACCTGCCGGGCACCCAGCTAGGGGACAGGAAGACAGGGCCGGAAGTGACAGCTCCTGATGCCACGGCCGGTGTTCCTTCTGCCCTGGCACGCCGCCTGCTCTCAAACAGTCTCTGTGCCGCTGAGGGCCAGACCCCCCCCACCCCCGGGGCTCTGGCACCAGGGCTGCCCGGCAAAGGCCCCTAGAACACGCGGGCATCGTCCTCTCCTCGGCCGTGAGGTCGTCGGAGGCAAAGCACTTCACCACGTTATCTCCAGCGTCACAAAAACCAACTTTCCGTTTCCAAATCACACTGCAAATTCACTGCCTGGGTAAGCAGACATATCTGCAGTAAGCAACCCTGTGAAGTCAATCTCCCGATTTCCAAAACTCCCTGCTCTCCATCTCGGCATATTTTTGTTGGCTCAGAACCTAAGCGTGGAAATTCCAAGACTTCCATGTAAAACATCAGAAAAGCTCACTTGCGATTTGCCACATTATGGCTAAAATAAGACAAGGGGAATATCCTGTTTTTGAAGACTTTGTGCCAGAACAAAAATGGTAAATGCTAAGTGACAAAAATGTTTAAAAAGGAAATTGTAATTCAGATGTTGCATTGTTCTTGGGGAGACGAAAAATTTTGTAAATTTTCTTAGGCAGGGCTTTAAGGACTTGGAGTCCCTCTGATCCAGTCCGAACTCATCAGATGGAAATGGGACACTCCGTGCCTGGCAGAGCCACCGTGGGTGGCGGTGGGGCTGATGAATGAGCCGTCTCTCTTGCAGTCACAGCTGGGGACGCAGGCACATCTGCCTCTGGGGTGACACGCGTTCGAAATAAAGTGACCATTGAGCAGTTTCACCGCGTGTCCGCAGGGAAGAGGAGTGCCCGGCCGTTTCCAGGAAAAGGCCGCGGAAATAATTCTGGAAGGATGAGGCGTGCAACGAGAGTAAACCACGATAGCACATTTATAGAAGGTGGTGGCGTTCGATTTAGGGTAGAAAAAGAGAGTAACTTCTAAAGTATTTCAAAAAGCAATACTTCGTAGCCACAGTGCATCCTCTCTCTGTGGCACTTAATGTCTTATCTTAGTGATTCCTACTTCAGCCCTGGGAAACTGCCCATTTCACTAATGTAAACAGTCAAGAGACTGAACTGGAAGTTCCAGTATTATGTGGTTGGAGACAGTGTGGGCAGCAAGTCCGAGTTCCAACTTTCTGTTTCCTTTTTTTTTTTTTTAAACATCCATTGGTAAAATGCTTCGCCACTCAAGGGTTTGTTTTCCCTGTTTACGAAATGGAGATAAAATAACCCCTTCCT